GCATGTGAGGATCCTGCAGGTGGCCGATCATTTATAGCCTTTTCTCACAGCAGCGGGAATAACAGAATTTCTTAATATGCAATTCGAGTGGTATGACAATTAGAGATTAGACTGTACAGAAATCGATATCTACACGCTAATACACACTATACACATAGTCACGTAATGCTGATGTTGTTAACATTAACAATTTGACAAAAAAGTATAACAATAATAATAATTTGCACGGTTTGATGTGATATGAGCTAACCGATCTTTAGATTTAATCACCATTGGTAGCGAGATTTATTGTATGCTTTTTCCCTCAGTTGGTCAGAACAAATGTGGCAGACTTGTTACTTACTTGTTCAGATGGCAATATACGGTGAAAATGCTTATTTTGGTCATATATTCCAAGACGTGGGCTGGAATCGGTGATTCCGAAGTACAGTAAATATCCACACCGGTGCGGTGACTGACAGCCACACATTCACCTCAAAACATTAGATTCATCTGCGCTGGAGCCGTGCCGGAGCACAACCCACGCAAGGAAGATAATTCCGCAAATAACTGCAATTGCAGGTTTTCAAACAGACAAAGAGGCAAAATTTACGGACTGCAGCTTCAAGATTTTAGTTCATTTTATTACATTTTATATTTATTATATTCTGATCTGTGAGTGGCTTCTCAGATCTCTTCATGGGGTGCCGATGACAAAAGGTTTTATAGCCATATAGCAGTGCATGTTTTAAAAGGTCGGTCGACATAATAATAATACAGTGAGCATTCACTGATGAGTGCCCCACCTGAATTACACACCTTGGATTGGTTCCTACCAAAGATAGTGTTAAATGTCCCACACAAGAAATAAGATCACAAAATACATTATTAACTAAGCAGAAAAGAAGATTTTGGGAAGTTCCCATGCCCTGGGGGTACCTGCAAAGTAACTGAGACCAAAGGCTCTTTGATAACTTTGGCCTGTTTTCATTGTCTGCAGATGATCCAAGCCAAGTTTGGTGAAGGTCAGATAAGTTGTTTTTCTGAACCCATATCAGTATGCCAAATGTCATTAGGCTTCCACTGACCACAGTGCAAAGGACGCAGAAAGAAAACAATACAAGATGTTTTTTTATACACCCCATTTTTTAAGGGGGTTCCGTGGGGGAAACTGTGAGAGACTTTGTTAAACATATGCAGGTAGTACACACTTCAACATGTTGCAACTGAGTCTCAATCCGGTTCTGGTTGTAACAAGCAAATAAAACCCTCTAACCGGCTGTTGATGTTTGCAGAACAAGAAGCAGCAGCAGACGTTCAGTCAGTCTCACTGTTATATGGCTTTGTATCGCTTTAAAGCCATCGAGAAAGATGACCTGGACTTCCAGTGAGTCATATTTGTTAACATTTCAGTTTAGCCGTAGCATTCATAGTCATAAGCATCATAAGTTATTTCTTAGTTTCATTTGTAAATCGGGTCAGGTGTGCTAAGTGTGTGTTTGTGTTTCAGTCCAGGAGATCGCATCACAGTGCTGGATGACTCCAATGAGGAGTGGTGGAGGGTGAGTTCCTCCTGCTGGAATACTGTAAGAAAAACGGTTCTTTCATACGTTTATCAGCAATGGGATGACTGGGAGAGATCTCGACAGACGTCTCCTCACCACAAAGGATTACAACATTTATCAAGGACACATGCAGAGCTAAAATATTATTGCTTCATTTCATTGTGTCACACAAATACAATGGAGTGGATAAAACCATGTTATGCAACTTACAAGCAAACAGGAAAGAGGAATGAAAAGGATACAAAGGCTGAGATATAATGGTTGCAATCCATACTCTGGTTGGCTTGAGATTTTCAGATATAAAGCTGGATTTATAACACACATCTGATCAAATAATGCATGTATAATTAGGTTTTCACACAAACAACATGCACCTCCTGTGGCAACATTTCCCTGATAATGATATGCAGAAGAAAGCAAAAGGGAGATTAAGATTAATGGGTCATTTAGTTTACAATTACTAAGTAGTTGCTAAAAATAGAAGAATAGCTTATTCTTAAAGTGTTTACCCCTTAAACTGAGATAGGAAAAATAGAGAATAGAGGAAAACATACACACACACACACACACAGATTAATGGATTAAAGTGTGTGTTCTAGGGTAAGATTGGGGAGAAGACAGGATACTTGCCCATTAATTACATCATCAGGGTGCGAGCCGGTGAGAGGGTGTATAAAGTGACACGCTCCTTTGTTGGAAACAGAGAGATGGGCCAGATTACCCTGAAGAAAGATCAGGTCAGTGTGTGTCTCTGTGACTGAAGAGAGATGAGTGAATGATATTGTTTGTTGTTCTCAAAGAGGAAAGCTGGGTTTTTTTGCTGCAGCAGGTTAATTTTTCCAATATTTTTTATTGTAAAAAGTCTTTTAGCCAATCAGTGCACACAGCTGCTTCCTGTTGACTTCACAGTGCAAGCAGCTTCTCAATTATATGAGGTAAAACAGAAACGCCAAAGAAAAGAAAAAAAAATATCAGTGAGAAGATGAAAGAAGTTTTTTTTTCTACCATTTTCTGTACAATACTTTAATGGTAAATACACAAAGAAATGTCAAAACAACATGTTATTTGCATGTGATTCTGTTCAAAATGCGGCAAAAATAACAGGAATGCCTGGGAAGAAGGCTGAAACATTCTTGGCTTAAAGGATATGATATCATAATGTAATACACACCAACTATACTGTAAGACAATTATCATCTTCTCATTAGTGCAGATAAGGGTGGGTGGCACCATGCGTGAAGAAGTCAACAGGAAATCCCCTCATCCCTGTATGTCCCATATGAAAAATCTGGTCATCCTAATTAATGTTTGTACCTGAGAAATGTATTTAGAGGCAGTTTATTGACTGATTACTGATTGATTGTTCAGATCTCAGCATGTATAACTGTGTCCTGGTTTGTAGATTGTGGTGAAGAAAGGAGAGGAGGTGAATGGATATCTGAAGGTCAGCACTGGCCGCAAACTGGGCTTCTTCCCTGCCAACCTGCTACAGGAGATCTGAATGAAGGAGTTTTAATCCTGAAGAAAATAAGTAAAGCAGAAGAATGGATGGAGAAAGAGGAATAAACAAACAAGACATGACAAGAAAGACAACAATATCTGACCTCACTGTCACTTTGACAGGAATATGAACGTGTGCATGTACACAGGGTCTAAATTTAACACTCACCAAGCACTATATATGAATACAAAAGATCTTTACTCAGAAGGTAAAAACACAGTTGCTCACCCGTTGACCAGTCATTTTATCAGGAACATAATACATGAATTCACACTGTAAGAATGATAGTCTAATCCTAGCTGAGCGACATAGATGTTTTCTTTAGAAAACGGTTTGTATCACATCACTACATTTTATTTACAAAAGGTTTGTTTTCTCTAGAACTCATTGTGGCAATACTTACATTGACATCTGAGATTAGCCAGTCTCCATGATTTTGTTTTTGGTCGCTTAATGTGATCAGTGGTTTTTATCCGTTCCTGGAGCCCCCTCAACAGCAGACATTTTACATTTCTACCTAGAACAGGGTTGAAAACCACTGTCATAGGTTATATGATTAAATGACACGACATAATGATCTGCTTCTGATGAATATTTTTGAGAGTTTTAGTAATTTCTGTGAGGGCAAATCTCAATGCTACACCATACAATGACCTTCTAGAGAATTGTGAGCTTGTTGGAACAGCTTGCGAAACAGAGACTTTTCTGCATTAGCATTAGTTCCTCTAAACAAAGTGAGTCACTAATGAAATGCTTTACTGAGGTGTGAAAGAACTCGAGTGCTGAAGCCTGCTGAACACCTTTGAGTCATTCTGGAAGTACACATTTCTCTGGAATTGTGTGACATAGCATTGGAATGGATGGAATAGCCAACCCTCTCAATTATATTCTTTCATTGCTCTGAATGTCTGGAAGAAATTGGCATAATGGGTGAAACTGCTTTAACACATTTAAGGTCCCCCTAAAGGCCAAATGGGATCATTGATTCAAATACTGTAAATATTCCTGGCTCAAACTAAATGGCTGAATTTGTCAAATAATAGGTATGTCCTTGTTCAGTTTGCGAACCAATGATTTTGGGGTGGGTACCAAGGAGGCATACAGTACAGTGTCTATTCATTAGTATTCCCATTCATCTCCGTGACAGGTGCTCAACTGGACACAATCATAAATGTCATGTGATTTATCAATTTAAGAATGAACATATAAACATAAATCTATTATATTTTAGTCTAGCTCTCAGAAAATAAATAGAAATTACAGTTGTGTATTATAGTAGATGTAGAATTGATATTCCTTGCAAATGGTAAAAATTATAAAAATAAAAAAAATTACAACCTGATTAGCCATTTGGTTATCATATGAGTGTGCATAAAATATGCACCAAGATGTAGTAAGAAAGGAAATGTTAAGTTTTAATTTCTCATAATGACAATGTATCTTTCCTGTCAATAAAAACATAAAATACAATACAATTGCAAATATTTTCTTTTTTTTAAAGAGAATTTTTTTTTGCCTTTATTGTGATAGGACAGTATGATGACAGGAAGCAAAGTGGGAGAGAGAGAGGGGGACGGGATCGGGAAAGGTCCGCGAGCCAGGACTCGAACTCGGGACGCCCAAAGTGCAACGGTGCAAATGTGGCCGTGCTGCATCGGCACTGACAACATTCCAATTTTTTACTGAAATTTCAATAATTACTGTGATCATGTCAGAAATAAGATTGACACAACATTTTAATGTTTCATTGTAACTTTTCATTGATAATTTATAATTTATAAATTAAATTAATTTAAACACATAGTATAAATAAAAACTGAAGTGCTGCATGATCAGATGCCAGCTAACAAAAAAGGTTGTATCGTGTAGGGTCCCCTTGACGTTGTGCAGACGTTCGTGAAGATGTCCTCCGGATGTTCACGGGGACATTTACAGGACATCCAGTGGCCATTCGTGATCACTTGAAGTCCTCTGAATGTCATTTTATTTTACTTCTTGTCTAACCAAAGAAGATAGACACATGCAAAATAGTTGGGAAAAAAGTAGGCTACATTTTATTTGAACAATTAAAAAGATTAAATTCAATTACGGAAATAGTCGGCAGCCCTGCACAGGACTTGCTTGAGAAGAATGTCTTCAAAGAAGTGTGTTTTTGGATGTGAGGGAAAGAAAGCCTTGTTCAGCTTCCCAAAGAACCCAGCGTTACGTAAACAGTGGATGCAGTTTGTTTTTCCGGAACAGCAACGGAGTTTCGCACGTGTGCGTTTGTTCATTTCAGTAACGAATGTTTTATAAACAAGGCCCAGTTCAACGATGGATTTGCACATTGTTTGATACTGAAAGATGGACCGCGGTCCCAGTGATAAAAGATCCCGGTTATGAGTCAGAACCGCAGGCGGTAAGTAAAACTGCAACAAATTTCTGTGTTCGGTTGGCAATCGGCACGTAAGCGCTTGGGACTCTTTAGCTCCGCCCACGGCACGCCTCCAGGAGCTCGGCAGTTTTCGGAGAGAATCGTAAAGACTCTTCGGAGATATGAAGGATGCAATACTACTATATACACTGTAAAATCTAATTAGTTCGGCTTACTTAAAAAAAGCATGCAAACCAATTGCCTTGAAAAAACGAAGTAAAGTGAAATAGGAATAGTATGTTGTAGTGACAAATGCTTAGTTAGTATAGTTTACTTACACGAGAGCTCTAGTAACTAAAAAAGAACTGTAGGGGGTACTTGATCCTTTCATTTAGGTTTACTCATGACCACAGGCGAATCAAGACCTCATGGTGCCCCTGGGCAACAAGTGCACAAGTGCCCCCCCAACCCCGCCAAAAAAAAATGGCAACAAGATTGCTCCTTCTTTTCACTTTACTGAAACTACCAAATTATAAGCTACATGGAATTTCACAGTCTTTGTAGAACACAACATGAAAAGATCATAGAACTCTTTGTAATTAAATATTTTTTTAAATGACAACAGTCATCAGCAGATGTCAAACACCTTACAATGCTCACACCACACACAAAAAAATCAAGAATGCTCATTCTTATCACTGTACTGAAACTGACAAAATAAACATGACATTTCATCTCTAGAATAGAGCATGAAAAGATCATAGAAGTCTTTGTTAACAAATGTTTTTAAATGACAACTGTCATCAATAAATGTTAATTTTACGCACACGCACTCACACACCTTACAATGCCTTCTTTCTGGATTTTGACCATGCAAACTGGCATATGATGTCTTCAAAATCTAAGCTCCTAACCAACTCAGATTCAATGGCAAGCAGGGAAAGCATGGAAAGGCGTTTCTGTGTCGTTGTCCTAAGTTCTTTTTTTATTTGTTTTAGAGTAGAAAAAGACCTCTCTCCTTCACAGTTAGTGATTGGAAGAGTTAAAAATAGTCTCAGTGCAACAAAAACATTAGGAAATGTTGTCTTAAGACCATTACGATCAATAATTTGCAGCAGCTCTGCAGGTGAGGTCTTGTCTTTGCTGAAATGTCTGAACTGAATGAGTTCATCAGCCAAGGCTTTGTCTAGGTCTTCTGGATAAGTTGAGGAAAGTTTATCAGCTCCTGTGCGCAAGTCACTTTCTGTACAGTCTTTGTAGAAGAGAACACCAAAAAGATCATAGACCTCTCTGTAAGCATCAATTAGTTTTGACAGGCATGACCTCAGCCTGTCCATGATGACATAATATGCCTCAACCTTAAATCTGTGACTCCCGTCAGTAAATGTTACGTTATCAGAGGATTCGTCTACAAACTGCTTTCTCTTTCGCTTCCGACAGACGTCGTATTGGTAAGACTGAGTAACGCTTATAGCACGTGCGGATGCTTCTATCTCAGCAAACTGCTCTCGAAGTGTGCCAACATAAGAATTTAACGACTCCAAAAGATCAAAAGCAGTCCATGTCGCTTTTTTGCAGATGAACGCTTGTTGCATTAAATCTGGTTAACACCCTGTCCCACAATATTGTAATCAACACTGTTTCCAGTTGATTCAGCTTACAAACAAGTGCGGCAGCATCACGTCTAGTGTCTGCCTTCTCATCACAATCTTCGGCCATTTTTGCACGTGCTTCTCTGACTGCATTGTAATTTTCATGGAGAGCTTTGGTGGAATCGGCCCTGCAGCTCCATCTTGTGCTACACAGAGATTTAAGTGTCAGACTACTGTGAATGTCATTGTCATGAAATATCCTGTTCCAGCGATGAGTGGATGCGCTGCAAATGTATAAAGTGATTGTAATAAATAAAAAAAGGAAGTGACCTCCTCACAGCACTCATCTATGCTGTTGACACCTACAAGATTCAAAGAATGACTGGCGCAGGGCATATAGTGAATTAAAGGGTTTTGCATTTTCAGGTGCGCTTGAAGTCCGTTATATTTACCTGCCATATTACTTGCATTATCATAGCTCTGCCACGGCAATTTGCCAAGTCCAACCCCAAGTCTCGCGCCATTTTTATTACACATTCTGCAAGGCTTGCGCCTGTGTGGCTATAGAGGGGTTCAAATTCAAGAAATCGCTCAACTTCTTTGCCTTCAGCACTTACGAATCTCGAAATAAAAGTCAGCTGGTCTACGTGAGAAAGATCTGGTGTTGAATCTACAACTACAGAGAAGTATTTGGCCTGTTGGATTTCAGCTGCTATGATTTTCTTAGTTTTCTCGCCCATTAACGAGATAAATTCTTCACAGATTCTAGAAGACAGGTAAGATGGCTTACCTTTACCATTCTGTCCATGTTTCTTTATATGTTTTTGTAAAAAGGGGTCAAACGCAGCAATCAGTTCAAGCAAACCAAGGTAATTCCCGTTGTGTGGTGATCCCAGTTTTTCGTCATGGCCTCGGAATGCAAGTCCCCTCTCTCCCAAAAGCTTGACAACAGAAACTACACGCCTCAACACCTCCTTCCAATAGTTTTGTTCCACCACTATCTGCCGGCAAAGGGAAGCATCCACTGTAGATAGATGTTTTGATCTGTTCAATAAAGCAAGCATGTGGTGTCGGTGATCAACACTTTTTTCGTGGTCAGATATCCTCTCGGGATGCTTCCAGTCACAGAAGCCATTAATGAAATTTTGTTCATTAATGAAGACTTTGCGATGAAAAAAGTTTGCATGCATAGCAATAAACTAAACCAGTTGACGGCTCTACTCTCTCTACACACATGACTGCGTGTCTTCCCACAGCTCCACATCTATCATCAAATTTGCTGATGATACTGTGGTTCTGGGCCTCATTTCCAACAACAATGAGGCCGCATACTTGGATGAGATAGAGCAACTCACATCATGGTGCCAGGACAATTGTCTCTCTATGAATGTGAGTAAAACTAAAGAGCTGATTGTGGACTTCAGGAAGAGACCGCAGCGGCCCTATACTCCTCTTATGATCAGTGGGACCCCAGTGGAGAGGGTGAGCAGCTTCAAGTACCTTGGTGTAAACATCTCCAAGGACCTGACTTGGACTTCACACATCCAAACTCAGGTTAATAAAGCCAGACAAAGACTGTACCAACTGCGACAGCTCAGAAAATTCAGGGTTTCGCCAGCAATCCTGAAAACTTTCTATTCAGGGCCATAGAAAGTGTATTGACTCAGTGTATCTCAGTGTGCTATGGGAACAGCTCCAGTCAAGACTGCAAAGC